TATTCCTTTTACCACCATTTATAGACATTCGCCGGCTACGAGAACCCGCGCTGCCTGCTCTCCTTCGCGCTCAGCTACTATTTCGGGATGGCGGCCAGCCTGTGGTGGTTGATGTTTGCGTTTACATGGTGGGTCTAAAGGGCTTTTCGTCCTTGTTACAAGTAACTTTGAGTTCTTGGTATCTTTTGGTGAGTTCTTATGCCTTAAAGATTTAGTATGATTTTTTCCATGTTTTTTAAATTTGAGTTTTAATAGAAATGGCGACTAAAAATGGCCTTAGTAACTTCAATGGGATCCGTTTTAAGGCTATGTAGAACTTTTCAAATTATGTAGTATGTTACGTTACGTAATTACGTAGTACATAGTATGTAGATACGTTTACAGATGCGCATAATCTTAATCTATAATTTTTTTGCAGGTACCTCTCAGCTGGCCGTCGCTGGGTTCCGGAGGGTGTCGAGGCTTGTTCCCCCTATGTCCATCTGATCGCATGGGGCACTGCGGCGTTGGCCACCATCGTTGTGCTAGTTATGCGACGCGTAAGTTATTGCCTTGAAGATCCACACCTTCAATGTTTAGGTGGACGCCTCCGAGTTGACGGGCGTGTGTTCTGTGGGCCAAATGGACGCGGAGGGGCTTCTTTTCTTCCAGCTTCTCCCGCGTGCCCTCATCACCGTCATGGGCACCTCGTTCATTTTGCTGGGGCTGTCGGGCGTTTGTCAAGAGGGTCAACTGCTGCGTAGAAGGGTAGGTTTTCGATCTTCAAAAATTGGGCTGGTTCTTACGCTTTAACGGGGGGGGGTGTGAAAATTTTTCCCATAAGTCCATAAATTCCTAATAATGTAATAGTAAATATTTTCATGGCGTTTTTAGTTAGTTTTACTATATTTAAAATGGAAAACCTATCGAAAAACTTGGAATATCTCAAAATTTTGGTCGAAAACCGAGATTTTTGTATTTTTAATGAAGGTTTACAAGGCTTTTACGCCGAGGAATTGTAAAAACCTGTTTAAAACTGTTATTTATATCAGAAAGATTGAATCCTGATAAATCCCCCCCCCCCGATAATGCCAAAGAGCGTTACTGACTGTTTTAAGTAAGCGCTTCCTCGCCGTCCCAAACACACGCGAAAGGCTCTGTCAGCCTGCATTAAAATACACTGATCAAAAGTCGATCGAAAGCCCTCCCCGCCTCCTTAGGACCCATCAGGGCCATCAGGGGCCCTCATGAATGGGCTTACACCCGCCCGAGTAATTGACCACGGCCCCGTGGCCCATAAGCGGTGAAGAATTTATCGCTCGGGCCGCACGGCGGGGGGCCCCCACCACTGCTCTTTTAGCCCCTGACGGGACAGCTTAATCCGGGCGAATGGGTTGAAATGTGGCCGTTTTTGGACGGGAGGAATGGAATGGACTTTTGGGTTATGGTAGACTGAAAGGCGGGCTGATCCAGGCCACTTCTTCAAAAAATGTAAAAATAGATTTTCGACCAAAAAATTTAGTTAAGAATTTTTACCACCTTTTTTGCTTCTTTGTCCACTTAAAATATAGTTAAATTTTGCCAAAACCTGTTTACCAGTCCCTAAACTTTCTTACTAAATAAACTACTAAACCTAAACATCAAATAAATATAGATTTTCGACCAAAAATGGCAGTTTTCGATAAAAATTTTTACTTTTTTTTCTGGGGGTTTTATTGTTTTCCACTTGAAATATAGATAAATTTCACTAAAACACTTTTCAAATATTTTAAAAATACTGACTATTAGAGTATCCGATTTCCGATTTTTGAACTTGTAGGAAAAAAAAATAGATTCCCCGACAATGCGAAAAACCCTAATAAATTCTAATTTACGGCATTAATTATACCGTGGTCTTTTGAGAGGAATCTGTTACTTTAATCATTGTAATGGGCGAAAAAGCTTTCTTTCAAAGTATTGAAACCGTGGGTATCCCTTACAAAAACGTCTTTTTCAGCGTGTTTTTGGGGGGGATTTCTTTTAGCTGGTTTCCGAGGAACACCGTACCTCCCTCGCCACCGTAATCCGGCCACACGTGTGCGCCCCAAATTGGAGCCGCGCGTTGATTGATAGACTCGCAAAGTTTTTCCACTCGCCCAGTAGCAGCGGGGGGTGTTCCCCCACAGATCGTAATCGAGCTATAGGGGGAATGGAAGCAGTGTGTTCCTTTGTGGGGAGCACGAAGAAGAGGAGGAGGAGGAGGACCTCTACCGGGGGCCATTCCCTTCGAAGAATTTATGGGCGACACGGCAAGGCCTCCGGGCGGAGAGAGAGAGAGAGAGTGAGAGAGAGAGAGAGAGAGAAAAGAGAGAAATGTACAGACAGACACACAGACAACCCCCATCCAAACATTCAGCTCCTGCTGATCGAAATGAAAAGCGGGGAGAAGCCGAAAAATTCAAACCCAGCCAAATCACCTCTTTTCCAGGGCATGGACACCTCGAAGAACCACAAGCTCGTGCTCAAGCTGATCATGTTCTGCGTGTTCTACCTGCTGCTCGTCGGCGCGACGCTCGTCTGCGACTATCTGCACTTTGTCGACATGCACACTCTCAACACGGCCACGTTGCACTGCAAGCAGTACGTTTTTTGGGCAATTTTGAGCGCGTTCCTTGTGGAAAGCGGCGTGGCGAAAAATCTCAAATGAATTTTTGCGCCTTCGAGCACGCACTGACTTTTGTTTTGCAAGAATACCTTCTTCTTTTAGGTTCGGCGGAGTTGAATCGGGGAGTTGCAGACAACCACCAAGACTACAGGTAGGGAAAAATGCAGATTAGTCGAGCAATACGTATAAATATAAAAGTGATTATAATCTTTCAGGCTTCTCGCTATATCCTCTCGCTGATCATGAGCCTCCTTGGCGGTGCCGCGTGTTCCCTCTGGATTTTATCGCCCAAGACGTTTGCCAGCTGGCAGCGGTAGGTGAAACACAAAATTAGAATTATTCGTTTTGTCACTCCGTCTTCGCTATCGAGCAAAATCTTAAAAAGCAAAACTAAAAAAACACATTGATGACGTTTAGCGCGATTTTCTGTGGCATGTGTTCGCCCGCCCCGCAGAAAACGGCATCAGCCAGCCGACTGGCCTCTTCTTCTCGCCCACTACTCGAGCCACCAATTCCGGTCAGTAATCGCTTCACCTATCTTTACCGGACGGGATCACGACAAGCCTCGTAAACCCTAAATTTCGCCCTCAACTTGACGTGATCCTCCCGCCATGCTTCTGTCATTCCGCTTTCCGCTTGCCAACAACGAACGCTTTCAGTTGCAGGTGGCGCCTCCGCCACATCCGCCCACCCACTACGCCCCGCTCCACTCGACGCATTCGACGCACGTATGGAGACCCAGCAACGTCGTCTAGACGGTGAAACCGATCCCCTACCCCCCGCCTACCTCTTCTACTGTTCCCAAATCCCACTTCAATGAGCCCTTTGTGATCCAAATACCCCGAAAACCAGCCCAAACTTTTTGTTACAAAAACCGCCACGCAACCGGTTCAGCCTCCAGAAATCTCAGCCGAAGAAGCTTTATGTGTTTTGAGACAAATTCCAACTATTTCCCCCACCTTTTTAATCTCGCGAACGGGTCGACGATTCTGCGTCATTTGCCATATTTATTTGTTTTCTGAATTTGATAAATTATCTATGTACGCGTCTATCCTATTTCAAACGTGGCAGTCAAACAATACTATCAAAGCCTCGATTTGTTTCCAAATTTCATAAAAGGAACTCGTATTTAAACCCCTAGGAAATAGGCTTTCTCCTGTAAAAAACTCCCATTTCACCGTCATTTCGAACGAGTGAAATACAGAAAGGCGCGAAAGGGCGTTAAATAAGAGTTGAATTTCATATATATTAGCCGTTAATAAAGTAGCAGCCAAACGCCAATCGACACCTCAGCCCCATCAACCGTCAATCCGGCATTCAAAAAGTCGTTTGGACCGACGCGGGCTGAGAGAGGAGTAGGAAAAGATTTGCGAGCTGACTCCTTCCCAACCGCCCCAAAGCCAGCAGTGCCCCGACAGACGGTCGGCCAAGATGAAAGCCCCTGTAAATCGCGATCCGTCGGCGGCTCGGCAAGGCCCCCTCGTTGGCGCACCTTCTGCCTCTCCCTGAAATATGGTCGTTTTTACGGGGCGCCAACACGACATTCTTTTCTCATCGACACCCGGCTGCGATTGTTGTGTTGACCTATCCGATTAACTCGCTCAAGGCCGAAATTGGAAGATCGGACGAAAATTGGGGGATTGAGAGCTGATTCCAAATTGGGTAATGATGGAATGGAAAGCTTGTAAAACAGCTACGCAACAGCACAGACACACAACAGTTTGGCTAGAGAAATGTGTAAATTTGCGAATTTATAAGTGGAAGGTGAAATAAAGCGGCGAATTGCAAGGTAAAGCCGGAAAAAAGTTCCGAAACACTACTATTCACGTCATCGTCTACAGGAACCCGCTGCGGGAGTTCTTTTCGACTTTTCTACCTTTCGCGTGTGTGTGATTTCGACATTTTTGTTTCTGACCCAAATTTTTGGAAATATAAAATTTACTCGCCTCAAAAACGACCCTCATGTAATTGCATGACGCGTTTACAAGCATTCGTTTTTCGGTTTGTTGAGTTTTGTGGTGTGACACGGCTCATCCGATAGAGCTACAAATTCTGAACAGATTCGATCTTGAAAAAACGCCGCGCGATAAGGTTCTGCGAGCAGAAGTCTCAAAGATTAGATTTTTAAGGGGTAAAAATCGCAAAATCGGCCCTTTCGAAGCAAACTTCGTAAAAGTCAAAAGCTCCTAAAAGACTTGATTATCCAGATAGTCATTTACGAAATTGGTCTTTCTTATTTGAGCTTTTCTTACAATCTTTTGCACGAAGTGACCATGGTTCTTTTGAACGCGAATTGTCGACTCATTGTTGTTTTCCTATATTTTCTTTCGTTGCGCCTTTTGACAACGATAATGTATTTAGTTGGGCTACTCAATCAATGCCACTGACGAGAAGTGCGATGCGCAAGACTCAAGAAGCGGTTGAGCCGCCGGCCGCCATGCCGACCGAGCCAAACGTTGACAAGACCGAATCGCCCCTCGATCGTCACCTGCCTGCGATCGAAGATGAGTCTAGCCAGGATACCGAGGTATATTCAGCTATGTGGATCGGTTAATATCTGATGATATAGGTCGGTGATACCTACAAGCCGCCAATCGACACCGAGGGTTCTGTGAGCACGATTGTGGATGGGCGTACGGACAGCACTCAAAGCCTCACGGGCTCGAAGGACGATCTGGAAGAGAAGATTCGAGCAGTCAAGAGGCCGCGCCGAAACAAGAACAAGCATCAGGTGCAGCTGGAGGTCGATGAGGTCAACGTACCCTCTGCTGCCGAGATTGTGCAAAAGGTCCGCGAGATGAATCGCGCGTCGCCAAAGCTCAAGCGTGGACGCCACTTTGCTTTTCGGGTAAACTTTGTTTCACTTTCGCAACGTTTTTTCAGGGCTACACTACACCGCTGGAACGTGCCCATGATGCTCTTCTGATGCGCTTCAATCTACGCGAGCTGCAGGACTTCGTCGACAATTGTGAAGGGCGCCCAATCACCCGCAGGCATCAGCCCCCGTAAGCTTTTCATTTGCGTACTCTATTCTCTCTTAGTATCTCTGTGCGCCACGGGAAGATTGATGGGCATGCTCGTCGTCAGAACCTGACGGTCGCCGCACGCGAGAGTATTTTGTCTTGGTCGTTATTTAACTGAACGATCTTTTAGAATTCGGCTCGTTCGATCAAACGCGTCCGTCCTACCCCTTCAGCGTCATCCAGATCGGCAGTTACCAGAGTTACCATGCAATCGACGAGCCCACCCACAAGGAACAAGAAAATCGACCCAATTCAATCACGTTGAGCCCGCAAACGGTGCAATTTTGGACGGTTTTTCACAAGTTCTGTTTAGCGCCGCATGATCTACGAGTTCTCGTCATACGATGCTAACCGCACCCTGTGCTACTTTGTCTGGGTGGTGTCCTTGGAGAATATCGTGGCTCTGCACTTCACACACGATCTTCTTTATGTCCGAGTAAGTTGTTTATGGCTTCCACATCCTCCCGCTTTTAGCTGAAGGAGCCGGCAACTCAGGCTACGGCCTTTAATGGTCCGGTTTCGACGCCCGGTCTCGATGTGACCAATGGTGAACGCGACGCTTCAGTGCTCCACTACTTCCGACTGCTGTATCTTTCAACACCTTCCATCAAGATTTTTCTTTAGACACGATACCACGCCAATGAAAGAGTGGTTCCTCAACTTCGACCGCGCCTTCTTCGAACCTCGAATGCTCGGCTACATGGACTTCTTCCAGGTTGATATCCCCTGATTTTCACTTCCGTCTTCAGGCACTTTACGGTAAACTTGACCCGACGGCGTTTGTGACGGCTGCCAACCAACCAGCCTACCAGGACATCAATATGCAAGTCACCGGCCGAGCCAATCAGTATTTTTTCTCGTACTTTGGCGACTTTTAATTTAGGTACCACTATCATCCACCACAGCCGATGGAGACCGAGGACTTTGTAAGACTTTCTTTCCGGGATTTAGTATCTTTTAGAACAATGCTGTAATCATGCAAGAGCAAGAAGCACTCTGTGATATCAAGGCCACCCCCGGGACGCAGACTGGCCTCGTCGATTTTGGTCCGGTGAACAATATGACTGGATATGCGGTATTTATTTGATCATCCCCTATATAAGAATGTTTAGGACGCCGACATGTTCTTCGTCCTTCCGGCCCAAGCCAGCGGCGACTCTTCGATGCAACCATCCGCCTCCAAGAAGCAACTAATCCCTTAGTGAGATCCGCCCCTGCTCACCTATTAATTTAACCACTGTGTTTGAGACTAGAAAATCTGTTTTTAATGTACTACTGTTAATCATTATTCCTGTGCATTGTACTGTGTGATGTTCCCGTTCTTGCAAAGAATATTATGCCCTCGATAAACGAGTTTTGTTTCAGGCTTGCTCAAGCATTTATTCCGGAGGCCGTTCGATTTATGCGAAACGCAAAGGAGAAAGATTGGGGTCCATGAGAATCACCGGGTCGCGTTATGGGGGGATAACCCGCGTCGGTGGGTTGACTGAGGGTGTCCGAGAGTACTTTTACAAGGGTTGACTATCATTCTGGATCACAATTTTGATGTCAATAGGCTGCTAATGGCATGGCTGGCTGAGGTAGTTTTGGCAAATTATGTACATCTACAGGAAAAGCAACATGTCTACAAATTGTTGGGGAGTGACCCGCACTGAAGGAGCGTTCTGCGATACGCAGGGATGGCCAAGCGATCGCCAGAAAAGGCAGCGGCAATGGCAGCATAAGTGAATCATGTCGGCGTAGAACTAAAAGCTGGCCATACTTTTTTGAGAGAGTGTAACTGACCTCTTTGACGCCGTGGTGGCGCTTTAGGTAGAAGTACGCCTCTCGCCACGTCCGCCCGGATTTCTCCTTGTCGATGTGGTGTGGGGCGAAATGGAAACGGGCTAATGACTCCCAAAGTCGTCCCTCCGACTCGACCAATGACTATAAAAGTATGTTTTGGTTGAATTACACTCGTTTCAGGAACGGTTAGGTAGTTCTGTCAGTATACCTCAAGGGCTTCATGGGCCTTTGCTGTCTCAAGCACCGAGGTGTGGTCGGGCAGTTTCCGTAGGACGAGGGACAATACCTGTATTTTTGGATGAATGGCATGTTCTGTATCAAACTGACCTCTCGCGGCAAATCCAAAAAGGTTATGGTAGTCTCATCGGAGTCGGCCGGGGTCCGAGGGCACTAAAACGGGGATTTTAGAGGAGGGTCTTGGCTTGTTCAGCTTGATGAAGGCTCGGCCCGGGGCTTGAAGCAACCCTCACCTGATTTGAGACAAAGTCCAACAATCCGGTGGCTGATTGTCGATGTTTCGAGACAAGCGATGGGCTACCGCAAACGTGATGCATGCAAACCGTCCCCTCAAGCTGGCTGCCGAAATTAGACACTAACTCCCGGGCCGTCTCTTGATGAAAATCATTCTAAAGTTGTCACCGTTATACGATCATTTTCCCAGGCACTTACATCCACTGCGCGCAACACGATCGCCGTCAGGATTTGGAGCAGCGTCTTGCGGGCCGTCGCCGAGAGGTTTTGCAACTTTTCGTCGATCAGAATTTGGCAAGTCTGGACGCTGTTGGATTGCTAATTTGATTTTCTTTACCTTGGTGATGTAGGCGAATCTTTTCAGGTCATAGACGCCTCGTGCCATGTCCAGATTGTGGAAGGCGTCGCTCATTGAGGTCACGCCGACAAATTCCTTGGTTTTGCTCTTGATGTGGCAATGCGGGACCCAGCATTCATCGAGCTCGCTGGCACCTGGAATTGGTTTGGTTTCCGGTCGTGATTGGTATATGGTTTAGGCATTTTAAGGTGCTGGTTTGTTAGGGGGGGGGGGTGGCGAGGTGGGAGAGCAAAAAACTCCTTTTTTTCAGCATAACGCCCGTAGTAATAAAATATAAACCAATTTATCTCGTTTTGAGTAGTTTATGAGCGCTAGATATTTTGAAAAACAAATATGTTATTCATTTTCATCCGTTTTTGACTAAGTCAAAAATTTTGCAAATCTCGAAAAACTTTTTATCTCTAACAAGCGAAAAATGCTCTGCCTATAGTGGGTATAGGTACTATTCACTTACTATTATAATATAGTATAGTAAATCGCTAAGAAGTAAATTAAAATTCGTGTATATTGAATTATGGGACGCCTAGGGGGAACAGTGGAAAAGTTAGTTTTCCCCTGGTATTCCTACCCCCACCCCGCTAACGAACCAGAACCCATTTTAATATAGCCGGCCAAATCCTCGATCCCGGCTTCCGGTTGACCCCCGAATGCCATTAACCGGTTATGCCGGTGCCCTAATAGCCTCTACCACCCCCATATTTGCAAATCCCCCATCCACTCGTTGAATGCCCGCGCGCACATAAACCAGCGCCATGCATGCGAATTTTACCCGGGAAATAATTTCCGGCGCTGACTCCCAGCCCCGTGCAATCCCTCATCTTTCCCTCCGACACCAACAAAATGCAGCCATGTCACCACGGCGAATCGCATTTCTCGGCGGCGCGCGAAAAAGATGAAATTTCTCCACGCGTGCGCACAACAGGCTTCCTTCCCCCTTTCTATTGAATAAAGGGCCACACGCCCGGACCCTGCGCGAATCGCATCAAAATAGCCGCCACCAGATGGGCGTTTTTGTCGGGGTTTTGTGGAGAGGAATTTCGAATTTTCCATTTTTTCAACTTTCAAGGGCTTTACGCAGATTTGGTCGGCGTTCCTGGCCCGACTCTTCAGTGGGAATTCGAAGGGCACTTGAGATTTTCGAGGGCTAATCGGATTGTGGCATGTGGGGTGGAAAGAAGAAAACACATACCCTCATCGGAGAGGGAATCCCGCGAGTTGCTCGAGCTCGATGTGGTCGAGTCGACGCTTTGGAGTGAGGCGGAGGATGGGGTATGGCAAAGTTCATCGAGCCCTCCGCTTCCGGGCACCGGGATCGCTTCGCAGGCTATCTGAAAATGGCGTTTAATTCTATTAATGTACTGGTTAAATTTTAATTGTAAAGTGATTATTTCTGAGTTTTATAGAGGAGGTTTCCCAGAATATTTTAGATTGTAGAAACTTTACGAGGTCCTTCGATAAGTTTTTTACTCATTTTCGGTACTGCACTTTTAGCGGGGGGATATCCGAATTTTCAAAAATTTTCAAAACTCGTTAATATTTTTTCCGGCAGTTTTCCCCGGTATCAATTTGCAAACCCTAGATAACCCCGTGCGGGAAACCGGGTCGAAATCTCTACGATCAGCTGGCTGGCTGCCTGGCACGGGTTTCACTTTCGCCGAGAGCACATATTTGGCATGTCGCCCATTCCGAGGTCGTCGTTGCGCCCCCCCCTCCTTTTTTTGTAGCGTGAAAACGATTCGGCGGAGAAGATGGTACTAGTGAGGGGCTGTTTGCGGGTGGGGTCCTCCCCCAGATTCTTCGCGCGATTCGAGTCCCGCGGGCTGGGGCCCAAGGAAAAACAAAGTGCTCGACATAGGTGGATGGAAAGGCCAGGCCAGGCACTGATAACAAAGGCTTGTGACCCACAGATGTTGGTGAAGACTTGAATTTTGTAACATTATTTTTGTGGTCAGAAGTTTGTAGTTTGTAGCAACGCTTGGTCCTTTAGTATTTCCGGTGGAAGGGGGAAGGGGGGCAATTTTTTTGGGGTTCCAATTTTTCTAAGAAAGCGTTTATAGCCTTTTTTCAATATTTCTAACGTAAAAATTGTAAAATTTTTGATGATAAATTAAAAAAACTCGTATTTCGGCTAAAGTTAATTTTAACTAAAATTTCGGGGGTGCAAACACTTTACTAAGTTTTCCGAATTGATTGAACACTTTAAATATAGTTAAATTTTGCTTTAAACTTTTAGTAGATTTTTTAGTAAAAAAGATGCAAAAATTGTTTTAACTTTACTATACATAACTGGACTTTTACGAAAAATATAGAACTTTTAAAAAGAATTCGATTCCCCCTGAAAGCTAGACCCCTTAATTTTGTTATCCCTTTTTTAGCCAAAATTGGGCATCAACTTTTGCGAACAGCTCTAAAAAACGGGCCCTTATCTTTCGGGGGTAGCCCACGGGGTTTTGCGGGCCACATGGTTGTAGAGAGAGAGAGAGAGTGGGGCCAAGGGTGAGAGAACCCAGACAGCGTGATGGTCAGGGATCAGCTGATTCGTCGCTTCTCATTTAAAGTCACCAAAACAGCCCTTATGACCCGGTGGGCCATAAGGGCCGCACTTTGGCCCTCGATGGGGCAGTTGGTGGCCCTGTGACCAAAGGTAAGGGGCCGGGAATTCGTAATGATAGTAAGGTGTGTGGCGTTGTTGTTGTTTGGAAAGGACAAGGACTTTGGGAATTTTTGGGGGAACGGGAGGTTTTGTGAGGTGGAAAACTTAACGGAGCAAGGTTTTAGAGTGAAAAGTTAACATTTTACAGGTTTAGGAAAGTTTAGGAAATTTAGTAAGTTATTTTTACAAAGTTAAAACAATTAAGGAAAGGGAAGGACTTGGGAATCGAAAAAGCGACGTTTTTATAGGTGGAAAAGTTTAATTTCGCTTTACCCCCCCCCGGCCCCTCCCAACCCCCCTTCCGTTAGTCTTTGTAACCACTTTTAAAATCCTTAAAGACCAAAAAAAAAAAGAAAAAAAATAGCTGGCTTCTTTTTATTTTCTTTTTTTTTTTTTTCTTTTAATCATTTTTTTTTTTATTTAATTTTTTTTTTTTTTTTTTTTATTTCTCCCCGAAACCCCCCCTTCCCCCTTTTTTTTTTCTTTATATTTTTTTTAAAATTAAAAAAAAAAAAAAAAAAAAAAAATAAAAACCTCCTTTCCCCTTTTTCCCCCGGTTTTTTTATTTAATACAAAGGAAAAAAAACCCCTCCCCAAAGGGGTGCTTTTTTGGGAAATCAAGCCTTTTCGAATGACAATTAAACTTTTTGAAACGTCTAAAACTTTTCAAAGCAATTTTTTAACTTTTACTCAGCTTAAATGGTTATACAAAACCGTTAAAATCGAATAAACCCATTTTCCAGAGGTGACCAACCTGCAACGGGCGCAATCGGCTTCGTTCCCAGCCGTTCGTCTGCGGGGTGCGGATCCACGTCTCGCCGGGGGCCCGCCAGTCTCGGCCGATGAAAACCATTTTTGTTTTCTATTTTTTTCTGGAAATAATAAATTAACTGTTTTAGTAAATCTTTTTAGAGATATAGGGAATCTATGGAAAAAGGAGCACAAAAATAGAGCAAGCGGAAGAAAGGAGGATAACAACAGAGAAACGACAAAAAAGCAACCGAAGCTTCAGTGAGTTACGAAAAGGTAAAAAGACGCCGGCTTGGTTTAGACTTAGGCTTAGGCCTGGCCTAAACATAGGCTTAGATAGACTTAACAAGCTGTGATACCTCCAAACTTCGCGGTTAGGAAGCTCCTAAACTTGGGGAAAAGCTTCGGTCCAAGAAGCGGAAGCACAATTCTCAAAAGTCGTCCTCCCCTCGGAGTATGGAGAAGCAAAAGTGCTGCCCCGGGGAGTACTCCTCGCCTTTCTTTTCCCCGGACAGAACAGCTGATCGGCCGTCTGTGTCAGTCTGTCTGTCTCGACTGTTTGTCTCTCTGTCCGTTCCCACGAGACCCCGCCCCTCGAACCTTTTCGCCACCCTTTCTCTCCGCCCGTTTCGGGAGAAGCCCAACCGGACCAGGTCAAATGATCCCCCCCTTGGCCGGGTCACTTGGTCATCTACTTCCTCTCTGTTGTCTGTTGAGTACGCACGGGGCCAAATGACGGGTAGACCACCTGGGGGCCCCAGATCAACCGTTTCGAGAGTTGTTTTCCCGACCCTAGGGGGGCTGTACTTTTGATAAGCGTGTTTGGTTTGGGCGGTCCAGAAAATAGGCTGGACCTGTTGGGCTTGAGGAAGGTATTACGGAGAGAGAGAGAGAGAGAGAGAGAGAAGAGAATTGATACTTGACTTAGGCTTGGGTTGAGCTTGGCGTATGTTGAGCTTAGGCATAGGCTTAGGCTTAGACTTAGGCCTGGGCTTGGGCTTGGCTTAGGATTAGGATAAGGCTTAGGCTTGGCTTAGATTTTACTTCAGCTTTGCTTTAGCTTTGCATTCGTATAGCCGCCTAAAGCATCAAACTACGCGCCACAACAACGACACCTAGGTGAAGACTGGAACGGACGGGCTCGATAGGATGCGGGAAGCAATTATTTCTGGCGCCTGGATAATTCCCGACCGCCCCTCCCATCCATCCCTTCAGTTCTTCTCTCTCTCTCCCTCCCTCTCTCTCTCTCTCTCTCTCTCTCTCTCTCTCGCTCTATGTATGTATTGTCTGCAGCCGTGGAATGGGATTAAAGGGACAGGCAAGGCATAAATACGCATTTTCTCGGCCTATTCCATTACGCTACGTACGAGCGGGCGCGTTGCGTATCGCGGTGGAACAAAATTTATAGGAATCTACTGCCGAAGAATCGATAGTATTTCCTTGCCGGTCCCTTTAACGGGTCGAGATTCAGAATTTAGCGAAGCTCAGAAAAACGCCGTTTTGTAGATTCAAAACCAATTTAATAGGCTTATACATTTAAATAAGGTGAAAGGGAATGGTAATTAAGCCAAAATAGAAGGAAAAAACCGTTGTTTGCTCAATATCTGGGACACCAGTCAAATTTTTTGGTGCTTTTAAGCCAAATCCTTGAGTTGGCCCACCGGATGTCGACCTGATTGGCATTCTGCTTTTGCGGTACTGGATTTCCAGTCGGTTTCCACCGACTTTAAAATAGCGCTGACTACGAGAACGACGAGATTTGGACGCGATAAAAGAATAGCAAATACCATGCGTAAAATGGCCATACCATGCTTTTTCTGCCAACACCAATACCTAGAAAACGCCGGGAATGCGGCCTTGGAAATGAAGCCGGGACGACGAAACAAAAAAACGGAAAGGGATTGGCAGTGGCGAGGACAAAGACCGTCATTTGCATGGGGGCGGAGTGGAAGGAGGGCTGTGCGCGAAATAGGGGAAACAGACGCCCGGGTGGGGTAGCTAGATTCCCAGTAGTATTGATACTTTTGAGGCTATTTTTGGGATGAAACGATTTAAAAAAGCGAGTTTCTTTAAAAAATTGTCAAGGAATCAGAGAGTAAAATAAAAAATACAAAAAGTAAAAGTATTTACAACGCAAAAAAGTCTGGCCGAGGAATTACGGACAAGTTTTGTCTGTTGCTTGAGGTGATATAAGAGATGCCCCACGGCCAGACCGGAAATTACGGCAGGTTGTAAATGGCCAGACGTTCTTAGCCACGGGCTTTTTAGAGAAGGCGAAGATCAGAACAACTGTATTATTAAATTTATAGAAAAACAGGGTTCCTTCGCATTTGCGGGGGGGGGGGTTTAGCAAACTTTTCCCCATCACTCCAGAAATGTCCAGCAACATAAAAATAAGTTTTTAATTGGGTTTTAAGCAAAAGCAACTATATTTTATGGGGAAAACAATCAAAAACTTCAAAAAAAATTTTAAGGTGAAAAAATCGTATTTGGCCGAAATATCTATACGCTTGTGTTTTTTAATAAAAATTGTAAAGTGTTTACCCCATTTTACTCGATGGTGATCCGCCAGTAAGCCCCCCTGATAATGCCAAAGAACCAAAAGGAGATAAACCTATCGTAATAGACTGAAACGCAAACTGAAAAAAGCAAGTTCAACAGATATTGAATTTTCAAGCTATGAGGAGATGAAGAGATAAAGTCTTAGTTATTTGGGATTGTTAAATTATTACCGTTTGTCCATTTTTGTATTTAGGGTTCGAGTTCTATCAAAAATATTGATCTAAATAAAAGAAAACAAAGAAAAAAGAAGAAGAAAAACAAAAATAAGGTAGCAGTACCTCTCCAGTAACGACAATCACTGCTAGGAGGTCACGTGGTAAGCCCAGACTTGTCTGCTGATCAAATCCCCGCCTAGAAAAATAAAACAAGAAACTTGTAAAGCGAAAGAAAGTGCAGAAACACACACATGGCCTCCCCCCTCACACACACAACCAAAAACATTGGCTAACGGAACGCGGCGAGCACGACAAACAGAAATATTTTGGGTATCCTCGGTGTCTTGTGTTGAGGCCCACCCCGCGAGGGGGGGAGGGCCCACTGGGGGAGGCCCAAAACAGCCACGAACGCGCGGAGGAGGCTCTGCGCATGGGCCCCACACACCGCTCAGCTGATCTCTCGCTGTCTGGTGTCTCTCGCTGGGCAGCGCGTTGCTGTCTGGCTCTCTTTGCAGCCCCTCTCTCGCTCTTTCTCGCTCTCTCTCTCTCTCTCATCCCCGAGAAAAGCAAATAGCTAGACACCAAAAAGGCAGCCACGAAAGCCGATGGAAAGGAATGGAAAATTAAGGGACTGAGAAGTTGAGCTTCGGATAGATTATAGCCAAAAATGAAGAGGAATAACATCGACAAGTTGACTTCGAATTGGGCCTGAGCTTGACTTATGCTTAAGCTAGGCTTCGGCTTCGACGTAGGCTGAGGTTTATAGTGATGCGTAGGCTTGAGCTCGGTCTTGGTTTGGGCTTAGGCTTGTGCCCAGGCTTGTTAGTGTTTTAGGCTTAAGCTTGGCTTTGGGCTTAGATCAGGCTCACGCTTGGACTTAAGCCCAGGGTCCAGCGTAAGCTTGGGCTCAATCGGCTTCCGATTCGGTTAAGTGGCCTAAAAAATACATAGAAAAACATAGAAAATGCGTTTGCGAAAAGCTGGCCAAGAATTACATGTCGTAATCCGCTCTGCACCACTAATGACAGCCCAGAATCGAGGCGAAACTTTGAAGAAGCCTTGCCGTTATCCCCGATGAACCTCGACGGGAGTATCCAAAGATAAACAACCACAAATCCCCCCGGGACCGTGGCCGGTCTCCCATTTTTGGGCCCAGACAATGATGCCCCCCAGGGCACACATGCCCTTTTCTCCGGGGCCCTCCAGCTCCCTTTTTTGGGCCCTTCTTTGGTCTTTTAGGGGGGAGCGAAATCAATGTGAAAGGGTGGTTTCTTTTTTAGGTCTCCACGTGAAGCTGAAAAGATGCTACGGATCTGGCGAAACTTGGCCGCTGACACGGGAAAACGCCAAAAGCACGACAAGCAAAATCCCAACAGCCCTAATCCCGACAGCCTAAATGTGATATTTCCGGTCGTTTTACCCAGCAATGGTTTTAAAATATCGGTTTCTAGCTGCCGGTATTATGGCTGTCGGTATAATGGCGGTCGGTATTATGGCTGTCGGTATTATGGCTTCCACGGTTTTGACTGCCGGAATTTTGGCTGGAATTTCCCCTGCCATGCTAGCTGTCGCCCCGGCCCCCTCTCCTTTCAGATTCCCTCACGAAATTGGCCTCGTGCCGTCTATGGGGCACAAGTGAGAGGGGGGAGAGGGAGAGAGAGAGAGTATTTGCTTTAATTTGCATTGAAATTTTCCGGAAATCGAATTTCAATGAATTCAGGAGCGTATAAAAGATAAAATGATACTACCATCAGAATCATTTTATCTTCCGGCCAATGGATGAGCCCCGGCGAAGCTCGATCTACAGCATCCAACTCGGAGCCGATGGAAAGCCGTTGACGGGACGGAATCATGAAGACGACAACAAAGAGGGTGGCGAGGCGAAAGAGGTTATCCAATATTCTGGAATTGATCAATTTTCTTCTAACAGACCGGTGATACGCGGGCTGCCGCCTCCTCGAAGAAAGGTGTCTACGGCAAGCGGATGAAGGCCGCCGAGGTGCCCCCAGCACCCCCAGCCGCCCGAGCAGGCCACCAACAGGACCGCGATCTCCCCGCCGCCGAAGTCGAGCTCCAAGGCCGCGGCGAGTGCAAAGAAGACCAAGAAGAGTCACAAGAAGAAGCGAAGCACCGCGCACAAGGTGGTGCAATTCTAACGTTTAGCTATTTTTCTTGCGGATAAAAATGGTCTAAGTCTGTTATAAGCGTTCAGGATGCAACGATTTCTTGCAGAAGCCTGGCGGTACTCGTCTCAAGGGATGCGGAGGTTGCCCGGAACTCGCCGCGCCTGTGCATCAGCTTTGCCACCAATGTGACAACCGCAAGAAGTTTGTCTACTAAGTGTATCAAAACCTCCGAAATTAGGAGCCCGGCCAAGCAGACGTGCAATCCCTACTGCGGCGTCTACAAAACGTGCCTCATTCTTGGGTAAAGGATGCGTTGTGTCCTTCAAAAACACCCGTTTAGTCCCGATCCCCGCTTGAGCCTGGATGATGGCATGAAGGTTCTTCAGGGCTTAAACGGTAAGTCAAAGCCATTTCCGCCATGACCTCCTTTTATTTTCAGCCTTACGGTGCAACATCTGCTGGCGGAACGACATTGTCGAGGTGCTGGCCAAGTGAGGAATTGCAGCGCCCAGTGATCCTCTCCACTTGAACGTGCCGCTCTCCTATTGAAAGCTCTTTTAATATCGGTTCCATCTCTCGTGTCTCCCTACCTAGCCGTTCTTTTGTGATTGTTTTTATGAGTGCTTTTATAATGTGTGCATTGTGGCAGAGTTGGTTCCCGTTAATAAACTTTCCACCGAGACCTGTCCCGTCAAATCATGCGCATATTCGATTGGAATAAGCAACCGTCGACGCGCAGCAAAATGGAAATGATTCATGTAAACTCTCAGATGCAGGAAATAATTTCACGAGAGAGAGAGAAAGAGAGAAAGAGAGAGAGAGAGAGGGAGAGAGAGAGAGAGAGAGAGAGAGACAGAGAGAGACAGAGAGAGACACAGAGAGACACAGAGAGAAACACAGAGAGAGACACAGAGAGAGAGAGACAGAAAGTGAGAGAGAGAGAGAGAGAGAGATTAGATATTAGATAGAGACGGTATTATGGCTGTCGGAGAGAGAACGAGATATTTTATCTAATTTGCATTTGATTCAGGGGGGTATAAAAGCTGGCAAAGATAGAATGATATTATGATACACATGGCTGAGAGGCGCAGCCAGATCTACTCGGTGCAGGTGGGCCCGGATGGTGCCCCGTTGACCGGAGCGCAAAAGTCGCCGCCCCCCTCGATGCCACTCAAGAACAAGGTGGGACAATTCAAGAATATTCGTAAATTCTCTTCTAGCTCACCCCGTCGACGGTTTCCGGTACCGGCAAGAAGGAAAAGCCGAAGACGTCGAACTCGGGGAAGAAGTCGCGAAAGAATGTGGTGAACAAGCTCAAACAGTGCCTCGCGTGTCCGGAAAACGCAGCCCCGCGCAATACACTTTTCCATCAGTGTATTCACCGGAAAAAGTTTGACTACTGACTGTATCAAAATCTCCGAATAGGTCGACTGGCAAGGGGCTCTGCAACGCGTATTGTGATGCCTACAAGGAATACGCCCAGGCGGGGTAATGATGAGTTGAGTCCATCAAAAACACCCGTTTAGCCTCGACCCGCGAGTTTCGGCGAAGACGGCCCAGCTGCTTTTGGTGGCCCTCGAGAGTAAGTCAAAGCCATTTCCGCCAAGACCTCCTTTTATTTCCAGAGAATCGCTGCAACAATTGCTTCCGCGCTGGCCTCACGAAGATCACCCAGCACAGCCAGCAGCCGTAGAGCGAGGGCGATTCAAGAAACCCTTAGCAAAAATTTCATGTGAACCTGATTCGTATTCCCACATCATTCATTCATTCGTATAAAGCTCTGATTCTTTACGCTTTCCCGCGAAACCCTCTGCATATTCGATTGGAATAATCAACTGGCTGCGTGCGCGATAAAATGGAAATGAGTCATGTAAACCCTCAGATCCAGAATATAATTGCATGCAAATATAGAAAGATAGATTCCCATTCGCCCATTTGTTTTCGTTTGTGTTGTATGCATGAAATAAATTTATTTTTTCTCAATTGGCTATTTCCACAACAAAATTCATTATACAAAAAATTTGCGGTGTGCAATACAACAAAAAATTATGGTTCTTGCTCTCCTTGACTACTCGCTTGCGCTGCTTGAGGGGTATTCGTGCATGTCTCGCGTCGGTTCCTCGGGATCCTTTGCTTGGTCATCGCGAAGATGGTGAAGGAGGCAACGGTGGCAGTTGCTGCCTAAAATTTCGAGTGTAAAGGGGAAAACAGGGAAACCTTACCGAGCATGATCTTGTAGTACTCGTCGACGCCATTCTTCTGCTTGTATTCATCCGTCTTCTCGCATTTCCAATCGTGTTGTTTTCCACGAAGCAGGTCCTTCGCAGCTGCTTTGACGGTGCGTACACAAACACCGCAGAGTTTTTCAATTCTTTGGTGCGAGTATTTCGCCATCTGTGGGCACAGCCGACAGATTCCTCCTTCGTATTCGCTGAGCTCGTCGTCGTCGGAGTCATTTTCAAAATGCATCATGAGCTCCTGCGCGCCCTCAGGCTTTCTCTTGCTCCACGCCTCCCGGGCTCGGAGCTGGCCCCCGTACTTGCAGCTGTTGACGGTGAATTTGTAGCGGTGGTTCGGCGGGGCGCTCTCCGAGGTGAACGTGACGCGGATGCACTTCTGCTCGCCTGCGTCGACGCATCCGGTGGCTGGGCGAAAGTGGAACTTGTCGCTGGTGGCATGCACCTAAACAATACGGATAAAATTCGTAAGTCTTAGGCAATGTATACCTTGAAAATCTGGCGGTGCTCTGTGATGTTGATGAGCTTGAACTCGGTCACGACTTTGGCCTCCTTCCTCCAGAGGCAGTGCAGATGGGTTGGTGGCTCGAGCTTCAGCTGGAATGGTGGCGTGTTGTCGTCGTTGTCGTCGTCGTCCGTCGTTTCGGCAGCGGTCGATTCGACGTCCACCTTGCGCGCTTCCTCGGCCTCGGGCACGTCCTCGTTGAGCGGCTTGGCTTCCATTGTTGAGCGTGGTCCGATCGGTTTTGACGATGAGAGTGCCCATTTCTATTTTCGGTGCTTCCGGGTTATCGGGGGGTCGGTTATTTTAGCGGGGGTCGGTTGGCATCTTCTTTTTGTTTAGCCTATACCTGGCTAGTGATAAATTGTAGCTTATTTTAATACTGTTTTTAGTAGCTTCCGGTAATCAAAAATTATAAAAATTTCTAGCCTATAGTCACGAAATCTAGGGTTATAGCGCGGTTTTAGCCATTTTCATATACGTTAGACCGAAAAAGAAAAAATTTTCCTACAGGTTTTATGACGTTTTTCTTAATGTCTCCTCCCCCGCTAACAGCCCAGAACCATTTCAAACGGCGCACAAGTCTATAAAAACGGCCAGTTTTTAATTAGCCGAGCCGCACGATATTATAGAAAAAGTTCGCAACCGACCCCCGCTAAAATAACCGCCCCCCCCCGATAACCCGGAAGCACCCTATTTTCTATTCTCAACGTTAACACCGCACTTCCGGTTCTGGAAGGTTCGGTCACTTCCGGTTATTCGAGCCAATATGCAAAATTATGGCTACTTCCCGTTCCTTTATATTTTTGGGGTGAAAGTTTTAGAGAGCTTCGATCTAGTCAGGCGTCTTGATGGCATGACCTTTGTTACTTCTCTGCATTCGAATTGTTCGCTTGAAGAAATTAATTTCTTATTACTAGATATTTCTTAGTTTACAGCCAAGCTTAATTAACTCGTCTTCAGATAAGCCTATTCTTGATTTCTTTGATGCTGATACAAAGTTAGGCTTGAAATAGGTTGCATTAGCACCGCATACCTTTTTAGCTTCTTTCCATTCGATTTGTTGGCTCGTGGATATTAATTTTTTGCTTTCAGATCTTTGCCGGCACGTCGCGGAGCAGCTGTGCGTTAGAACCTGACCGTGGAGGAGGGCCCAAAGAAGTTGAGGCTCAACTCCGATGACTGGCCCCATTCCACTGTGGATTCGAGCTGATTTTCAGCATTGTGGCAGCTCCTAAAAGGTGGTTTTATTTTCTTTCTTTGTTGATGGCTTTTCGCATTCCTTTTTGGGACCAGTCAAGAGTTGAAAGGGCCGAAACTGGGTGAAAGGGACACTTTAGGCCCGGTTCCAAAAGGAACTACTCTTCTGATGAGTGTCCCGCCCTCTTAGAAATGTTTCGAAGTATTAGTTTCAAAATTATCGTGCTGTCGCCGCGATAAATTCTCAAATTTAGATGATTGCAGGTTGATGTTGTAGAATAGACCTATTTTCGAATATCTCTCCTTCTTAAAGAGATGAGGACGGCATCTGTTGAACCCCCCTTGGGAAGGGGGGGTTCAACAGGTCCCGCGGCGATCTCGCGCGAGAGAGGGCTCCCAGGGGAGAGGCGCAGAGACATTTTCTTTCCCTCGCGTAATCGATTGACTTTTGCAATTGGGTTTTTATCTTTAGCCGGGCCTAATTTGGCTTTCGTAAGCGATATCATCTGTTGGCAACCTGTTTTCCGTCACCGAGGACAACTGTCTCGAGCTGAACCGGTAAGTTTCCTTTGTGTTTCTTGACTCGTCTTCTTATACAGGGTGTATCAAAAAAAAGTTCCGAAGTTTGTCCCCAATTATCTCGAGAAGGAAAGATATTTCACCGTGCGTTACCATGCCAGAATGCTTAAATATGTTGGGTATGAAGATTTAACACAACTTGATTTTTTCGATTTTTGGCGACGTATCAATACAAATGACACCCGAAAACTGTGCGTTCCGGCAAAACTTCGTTTGCATTTTTGTGAATTGCTGGTGGTCGAGCTGTTTCAGTTTTTACAGTGTGGATACATAAGAACTGCCCCTACGCACATCCGAAATTTTGGAATTTTCGAAGGTCTGGTTCACAAGTTATAGCGTGCTCAAATTTAGTATGGAGAAATTTCGTAAATATCGAATATTACAAAAACCTATGGCGGAAACCCGAAAATAGATTGTTCTGGAATACCTACAAGCTCTGTACAATCGCACAAACACTTCAAAGAATTTTTGAGATTAATGAATTTTCAAGTTTTTCAACGACCCCCCTGGTCATGGATTTTTTTTGGGGTGACAAACTGAACTTTGGAAAAATATTTCTAAAACTGCCGATAGAATTTCGGTGTTTGCTTTGCTTAGTTGTGTAGGACTGGGGAACATCTATAATCAAAACAATTTCTAGCTACCGTACCCCTTTGGAAGGTTGCCTTTCAGCGCCTCCAAAACAGTTGGTTCGTGCCATTTCGCAGACCTTCGTGCCAATCTATAAAATTTAGTTGCGCGGCTAGAATTATTGTCATAATTTTATTTAATACTACTTAATGGGCGCATTCTAAAATTATATTTACTATTTTATTTGGGCCATCCGATCTTTCAAAATAAATCCATGAAGTGTCGAAATATACCCGACTTTGAGGCGACGTAAAAAAAATTCTCGAGGGTTTAGTAGCCCCGATTTTTCTGGCATAGACGTAGCTTGGGTAATCAACTAAAACGCATGCAAATACAAAGCCTTTTCATGGCAAACGAATTTAGAAGAGTTCCCTAAAGTCGGCTTTTCAAAAACGTTATGTTCGGGTTTTAAATCAAAATTAACCATGAACTTCATCCAGATCATTCCAGAATTCTGCTCTCATACACAATTCGATGCATGCTTTAATTGTATCCACGAAACTCCGGCGCCTTTTTCATTTTCAAAAATTCGATTTTCGGCCCGGGGCATCCGGTCCAAAATGGGGCCCCGAGGAGGGTTTTCCTCTTTCCTTCATAACTTTGTCATTTGCCACAGGAATCAAGTAATTTTTTGTAGGTGCTCTTACAATCGCCCAGTGAACAGTCTAGAATAGAAAAATTGACATTTTATGGCATTTTGTATTGGCATGCTAAAACGCGCTCCAGGTGGGTTACGGTAGAAAACAGAAAATCGTCGTTTTCTCGTTCTTTTCACCACAGAAACGTTTCGATCTTTCGGGAAAACAAATAATAGTAGTTTTTAGACCGATGTATCAAAATATTTAGACAATTCCGTGGCTAAATGCAAAAATAAGTTTTTTGCATATTTTGGGAAGGTGTATGACTAGAACTTTGCGATATTTAGCCCATAGGTGACCCTTACTGGTGTTTACCAATGATAAAATTTTGAGGGAAATCGCAGCTTACAATAAAAAGAAAAACGCGAAAAACGAAAGCTACAGTATCCCTCTGGGGCACGTTTTAGCAAGCAATATTAAATTACCATAGAATCAGGTAAAATTTTGTATTGTGCTAAAGATTATCATTCGGAGACACCATTTGCAAAAGATCAGCCATGGGCAGCGTATTTGAAGCGAGTTGCGAATTAAAAAGTAAAAATAAGCAAAATAGGGAAATTTGTTTTGCCTGTAAAAAAAGAAGTAAACCTTCAAAAATTCTAAGACTTTGCTATTATTTTTCTACAAATATCAAGTATTTTTGGGCCAAAAATCAGAATTTTCCCACCACCCGTTCAAGAACGCACAATTTTCGGTCGTAACCAGCGTCAATAGTACAGTTGTGTACTCAAAAATCGAAAAAATCAAGTTGTGTTAAATCTTCATACCCAGCATATTGAAGCATTCTGGCATGGTAACGCACGGTGAAATATCTTTCCTTCTCGAGATAATTGGGGACAAACTTCGGAACTTTTTTTTGATACACCCTGTAGTGATGGCGTAATCCTCGACAAAGATGCTATCGAGCAAAGAAGATCTGTTCGGGAAGGATGTATTCGTGCAGGCCAAGGTATCTGATATTTTCGGTTTTTGATTTTAGTATGAAGATCGATGAGGTCGAGAAGGGAAGGCCACGCCCGTCGTATCGTTCCCCGAAGATATCTTCATCAATATACAACTATGCAGGGATGAGACGCTCTATGAAAAACAGCGGCCGCTTTTGCGATTCCAGCGGAGGCATCTTGCCTTTTTACTTTTTGCTTTTGGAGCTTTATTTTTTTAGAGATTTCACAATGGCCGCGCGATGGCTTGGTCCGTGAGAGTTCGATGCGCGAGACGGTAAGCTCATCCGACACCAAGGCGGCCAAGGAAAAAGCCCACTACGCGAAAGTGGCCCTGAACGAAGGATGCCGGGAGTCAGGTCGAAACGCGAGCCCATTCCTCTGACCATTTCAAGCTGGGTGATTGGCTCTTGAAAGGAGGTATTGTATTAGTGTCTCGCCTTCTTTCTTTCTTTGTTTCTTTTTTAAACACTTTTCTTGTCTACTTCGTCATAGCATGTCTTTTGGGACCAGTCAAGAGTTGAAAGGGCCGAAACTGGGTAAAAGGGACACTATAGGCCCGGTTCCGACAGGAACTACTCTTCTGATGAGTGTCCCGCCCTTCTAGGAGTCTTTTTTAAATATCGAGCTCAAAATTTAGAAGTTTTGCGGGCGAGTAAATTTTTGAGTAGAAATTTTGCGGTGCAGGGCGTTTGGCAGATATGCAAAAGGGCTCTCGAAAACTTATGCTCACGTTTGTATTAATGCTTAATACCTTACAGCTTGGTTGCGAGGATGATTTGCGGATAATCAATGTTTCTAGGTCTTTAAAACCGTTTATTTTTGTAGATCCCTGAATGCAACACATGTCACTCCATCCATTGTTAGCCGGCAAAAGCGGGTAGTGGTGAGGTGGAGGGAGAAGGCGTGCTCGGAGCACACAACCCCTACCTAAAATTACTTTTATTAAATTCATTTTAGATGAAAGAGTTGTCCTGCCGCGGCTAGGAATCGAGCCCAAGTTTCCGGGGCTGAAGGTCATAGAGCAACGCCTGGTCGGCAGAAAGCAGACCTCATGTCCAATAGCCATTCGAAAAGCGGAGATTATGCGCTGTTTGCTTCTGCTGGCGGAGGGGATCATGCTCTAAATTTGTTTATATTGAATTTTAGGTACAGGAGCCTGACCCTGGCCATCAATCGTTTCATCTCCCCCGCCGGACAGTCCTTTTCAATCAGCCGCAAAGCCGTCGACCGATGACTGCGGAAGAGCTAAGGATATGGTGAAGGTACTTTTATTTTTGTTACCATTCCAGGGGAACGCCGAAATTCTCCTTTCACCGAGATCGCAGACCGCTTGTAGAGGTCACCTGCAGAAATGGGTACTATCAAGGTATAATTTAACTTTTTAATGGCTTTATAGTACTTTTTAGACGGATGCTGGCGTCACAAACCTCCAACTGCTCCAAAAACATCGTCGTCCTCGTCGCTTTTGGAGCTGGGTTGTGTTTTCTCTAAAAAGGTTTTTTAGATATCGAAGATCTCCTCGTACTCTGACTTCCACGACTCGTATTCAGCACCGTGCACTTTGGATCGGGCGGACAAGGCGGAGGTGGTGGACATGGAGGACAAACGCCGTTCTGGAGCCAGAGGTATTGGTGTTTATCATTAGCGTTTGTAGGCGATATTGGAGTTTGCCATGTGACTTCGCTGATTCGATAGAGCTTGAGACCCGGAACAAGTCCCAGCTTTCAAATACTGCCCAAACGAAGGCGCACTTTCAAAAATTAGCTTTGAACGGACCGATTTTGCTAATTTTTCGCTTCGGCTCGACAAAATATCAACTCTTCCCGAAGACCTTTATCGTTCAGCAGTTTGTGCAAGGTGGGACGTCTTCGGGTTTTGAAACTCTATTCATTGAGCTGTATGACAAGCCTACAAACTCCAATATCACCTAAAAGCGGATTGCAAAGCCATTCCCGTATCCTAAAGGTTCTCTGCTACACCTACGATTGGCATTCGGGCATTGTAGACGGCGTTGAGAACAGATTGGCCCGGGGTCACATAGGTGGGTGCTGGGACAAATCCCGCCGGACCGCTGGCGTATCCACCAGAGGGTGGGGAGCATGAGGAACCTATTCCAGGGTCGTGTAAATTTAGACAATGGTGGAATTACAGCATGAAGGGGCGGATTGTCGACCACAGCATCCGCCGCCTCCACCACCGCCGCCGCAGAAAACTAAAAAAATTACTAAAGCTTTCCAAGGTTAGCTTCGACGTTAGCGACAATTTCTACCATTTATTTACAGTTTATTTTGCCAGTTTTCAGGCCGTCAGCGCGAAAAATTATTTTCATCGTCTCAAACACTAATTTAGAAAATGCCTTGCGTTTTGGACACTTTTCCGTACTTTAACTTTCTAAAATAGTAATAGACCCAAGTAGAATTGCGCGATCGGCTCTTAATTAATAAGCTAGCGTATTATTACGTGCTATAATGCTGAAAATGGCTACTGGGTAGCAGAACTTTAATGTTTGTCATATTATAAGTGTCCGCCGAGCTACAGCTACGACTTGCCCACAAAAAACTTACAACCGCGTCCTCTTTTCAAAAATAAACCCATAATGAATAGGAATAGCAGCGTTGAAATAAACCTCATGGCAAAAACTTTCGCATCCACCGCGATCTGCCATGCATCGGCGGCAAATTGCCGGGTCAAAATCCGCGCCGGGCCGACTTGGGTGGCTCAATTATACCGCGATCCTTCTTCCACTCTTGCGACTTTTGCCCCTCCCCCCACAGGGCAAATTACGGTCCACCATAGGGCACATCTTGGCGCAAAAAGCGAAAACCATTTTCAAGGGTGTATTTCATGTCTGAATGGTCGTAAAAAATTTTATTATGTCCTGTCTTTGCGTTTTGACGAGTACATTCCGCTCCTCTGGACGCCGCTTCAGGCCTTGATCGAATCACAGTATGCCCCATCTTGCTCCCATAACTGCCGCCCCTCGGCTACGGTTTCGTTGAAAATTGAGAGTCCATCAGAGTCTGTATACGATATTGTGGGTGTGTCTGAAAAGGTATCATACATTAGCTTACAGCTTACAGGGTTTTTTTGGTAATAATAATAAGCTAGTGTTTTCCTTTGTCGAAATTCTTTTTAGAACCTACAACATATTAAAAACCTAGTTGATTACCTAGGTATAACGGCTCCCAATATAGCGTGCGATACGCACAAATCAGCCACCGCTTCGGCGTCGAGCCCGGCGCGTATAGCTGACGGATTCCCTATATTGGAATTTGTGCCGAAAGCTCAGTTCAGGCACTACGCTACGCTACGCTACTACTATTGCGCAGAGAGACATCCATGTAGCCCGTGCCGAAACTGCTTTTTAGATAAGGTAACCTACCGCCAACGCGTCCACCATCAGCTGCATCCGGGCCGCGCTGTAGTCAAGCTGAATCGGCGGTTAGAGGCTTGCAGAGGCTACGCCAGCCTACCATGTACATGTACTGTACGGTGAATGCGGAGAATGCGTAGAGTGCATCGTTTTGGTAGACGGTCGCGAAATCGCGGGTGTACTGCTCGGTGAGCTGCAATTTTTGAGTTTTTCTGTCGAAAAGGTTTATTAAATTCAGGTAACTTCACTATCGACGTAAAATCACCCACGATGTCCATGTCGCTGCCAAGTGGTCCATCATCGCCCAGCGCTTTCCACACCTGGCCCCGTATGTAACGATCCGAGGTGCAGAGGGCGCGCGCGAAACGGCGCAACGCGGCGCCTATCGACGGGTCGGCGTCCTTAAAAGGTAAAGTTTTATTGTCCCTTTTTTTCTCTTTTCCCCCTCTTTTTTCCCTCCCCCCCCCTTTTTTTTTTTTTTTTTTCCCCCCTTTTTTTTTTTTTTTATGATACTTTAATAGAAGATACCTGTAAATGGTTGTCGACCCATCTTTTGACGGCTCGCTCCTTGTTTGAACAATACGATAGGTCGTCGGCCATCTTTTTTAGCTAGAAACGGGTGGTTTTTTGTTTTAAACAAGCCATTTCTACCCGATAATTGTTGTAATAGTTTTAATTCCCTTTCGCCCTCCTAAAAATCAGAGAAATAAACATAAATAAACATAAATAACGCTCGAAAAAGTTAATTTTCTTTGAAATCACGCCCTTTTCTCTTCACAGAAGTGGATTTTCGTGTGGTGTTAAATACAGGTAATGTCATATCAAAGGCACTTACCGCTTGCACATCCTCCTGCGAAGCCGCGTCCCCAATTATTGACTGTAAACGCAGCAGCGAATATTCGGGATGAAATGCATCTCCGGCGACTAGCCGACAAAGCAACGATACGAACAGCAGTAATGTGTCGCGATTGATGGCCATTCTATTGGCATTGAAGCTCACCGGAAACGGGGCTTTTGCAATCGCAAAATGGCGAACGTGCGACCTTTTGGCACGCGCATGTTCGTAAATGAGCCGCTTATACGCGCCGGCGTTTATCGGTTTCGTACCGGGAGAGCAATTATTTTTTGGGGAGCGCCCTCACGGCCATCGATCAAAACGGAAGCGGGATTCATGGGGTGGATAAGGGGATAAAAATAACGCTGTTAAAGTTATAAATCAAAATTGATTTTGAGATCTTTAGAGATAGTTTAAGTGCATCCGCGTAGCAAATACAGCTAAAATTATTGTAATCCCGCCAATAGTGACATTTAAAGTCCGATTTATGTAATTTTGGCGCGGTTCTATATGTGCGTCGATGTGCCTGGTTCGGTTTTTGCGGATCTTGTCGCTTACCGGTGGGGGCTAATTTTCCAGATTACGCCCGAAGCTTCTAGAGCTGATTTGTAGCGTTTGTAAATACACAGTAACGTGGTCCACACTTTTTGCATCAGAAATTCTTTTATTCGAAAAAATAAACCATGACACGAGGGGAACCACCTTTTGAAGTACAAAATAATAAAGTGGAAATAGAAAATTCGCAAAATCGACCAAAGAAACGGGCAGCGGAGGTGCACATGCAGAGCAAAGTGCCCCCGCGCCAAACATTATTCATATGTTTTGAAGGGGAGGTGAACGTTTAGACTATAAGCTTATTAGATAGAATATTTTAGACTACTGGTATAAAGGGAGAGGGGGGCTGGAAGGGTGCGTCTCACGGTTGGGCTAGTCGACAATTCTCTGAATAAGGCCTCAACGAATTTCAAATTTATAATGTGCGTAAAAAAGTAAATTCCAAAAGGCTAGTTTGCGTTTGTCAACAACGAAAATGCCTTCTCGAGCGTGCTGGATCGATCGCAGCCGTCGATGCGAAAATGGAAGCCAGCAACAAGTGGGCAATGCTGGGGGGAAACGCCGATCCCTCTAGGAAACTACGAGGCGACTTTAATTTGCTGTGGAGGCAATAAATAATAGACAAATCGTTCTTTTTCGCGGTCAAAACAATTCAAAAGACTAGATGACGGGTGGGTCGAAGCTTGAGCAATGCTGAAAGTAGATGTCTGTGGCCTGGGGAGGGGGGAATTGGCTAATCTTTTTGTGATCAAAATGGGGGTATAGAATTCGAATAAAAATTATAATCTTCCCTATAAAAATGCGACGAAGAAGAAAAACAACAACACGAGAAGTATGTGACAAAAGATATAGTGGGGGGCAGTGTCAAATCAAATGGGATGTTCCCTAAAATGTGGACAGTATTTTTGTGTACGGGATAGGGAGGGGAAGGCAATTTTTCGGGTGGAAAAGTATGGGGGGAGATTATTAACTGCAAATTCTTATCATCCTGGGCGTAGAGGCACCATTAATAAACGTTATCAGCAGAAAAAATGGCATTGTTTTTAAGGTTATCTGGGCGGTCCTGAGGGGAGCAGGACTGTTTGGGAGTGATGGCTTGTGCGTTCGGGGGGACAAGCCTCGAGGAAAGTTACGATTTCGGGGACTTCTTCTTCTCGTAGGTGAGCACCTGGTAGAAGAGGAGCAGCAGCGAGAGATTGGCCACCGCCAGCAATAGAGGCACTTTGAAGCGCAGCAGCCATGCCTGACAAAAAAGACTATGGGAGTTAAAAAACGGAACTCACCCGAAAGGCCGGATGTACGAGATAGCGAAGCGGGTTTGCACGTAGAAGTACTCGTTCCTCTTCTTCCCGCAACACTTCTTGCCGTCGTTGGTGTGCCAATCGGGCGGCGTCTTCTCTTCTCAACCGGAGTCCCGTTTGTTCAAGGGCCGCCAAATTTGGCAATGATCCCATGTTCTCGTCCGTTTCCGCGTCGCGTGTCTCGGCTGATGGTGCGGCACGGTCTCGCGAGGAGGCCAATGTCGAGCGTCGGTTCAGGAACTGAAATTGATCGATTTCGATATATACCAGACATGGCAAACGGCCGGGCCGCCGGAAAAATTAGCATGCGGCCGAGCCGCGCGGTTTGGCCGGAGCTTCCGGTCCGGCCCCGGCTTTTTTATGTTTTGAGGCCGGAGCCTCGGCCAAGCCGCCGGCTTTTGAAAAGCCGGAAAACCGGACCCAAATGAGATTTGCGCGTTTCCGGTACGCAAATTGCGCATTCAATCAATAATTAGCTTTATGGCAAGAGAAAAACTACTCCGCCATAGAAATTTGGTCATTTCCATTCAGAATATTGCATAGGATTAAAGGATTCTCATGTAAATTAGCAACTTCCGGTTTCCCGGCTCGGCCGTACCGGCTTGGCCGGGCCGCAGCCAAAAGCCGGCTGGGCCGGGAAGCCGGGTTTCCGGAAGTAAGTCATTAACGCGGCTCGTATGGGGCCGGGTTTTTATGGAAATTGGGCCGGCGGCTCGGCCGTGGGGCTAGGCCGGCCGGGATTGCCATGTCTGATATATACCTTCGAAATAATATTTCCGAAAAAAGTTTTTTGTAATTTCGAGTGATATTTTGCAATGCATAATTTCGGATAATTTGCGTCCCCGTATCGATCGCGAAAGCCCATAAAGAGTAATAAATAATCGAGAGAAAATTTCGAGTCTCCAAAAAAATTATTTTCGAAAAACCTCGAAAATATGACTTTGGTAAAAGCTCTATTTCCGAAAAAACCATTGCAAGTTCTTATACCCTTACATTTGGATTATTCTCGTTGATGTGGTCGGTCTGGCGGGTGAGTGACGGGCGATTGCGGCGTATCTTGGATTGTTGCGGATTTCCGGCCATGACATATTGATCGTAGTGATCGTCCGAGAGGGAGAATCTAAGTAAATGCTTTTTAAAACGAGCGAAAATCCGCATACCTGGACCCGGACTTTGAGCTGCCCTGCTGCGATGAGGCGAATAAACTGCCGAGTGCCGACGGCTTCTGCGAGGGCGGCTGAGACTCGGACGGGCCACTAAGAAAACAAACTACAATTTCAGGAAGGCATGAGTCTACCTTTCGCCCGGATCGTGCGGCTGTGTCGGCGTGTCTTCGGCGTGCGGCATGTTTGGCGACGTGGCCAGGGCGGCGGCTTGCATGCCAGGCTGTTGAACCTGTTGGTGTTGCTGGGGCTGCTGTTGCTGTTGTTGGGGGTGCTGTCCTGGTTGCATGGGCTGTTGATAGGCACCGTAGCCGCCCTGCATCATGCTGGTGCTTGGGTGCATGGCCTGAAAATGGTGAGGATCCAAAAATCTTTCAAAAAGTCTAAAAAGTTTAAAAAGCGTATTTTCCGGTAATAGACTGGTAGCGGGGGGGGCTAACCTTGGCTTATCAACCCGAAAGATTCCAATAATGAAATGCACATCAGTTGTGCAGATTTTTCATGTTCTTAAGCATTTAAGGTTCAGAAAAAGCCTTTGAATTCCGGAAAAATCGATTTTTGCCGCAATTTATAGATCTTTAATTTTTTAAACATAATTTATGTCTTTTTGTCCCCTACAAAAGTACATCCAGCTCCTCCAACTCCACCCACATGTTGTGCCATCATTCCCGGGTGCTGATGCTGCATGACGTGCTGCTGTTGGTAGTTCATCTGCGGCGGCGGGGCACCCATCGGCTGTCCGGGCATTGGGCTGTAGTACAACTGAAAAAAAACAATTGTAAGATCCACTTTTGAGATCTACAATTAGCCAGAGCAACCCATGCGAGTGTGGACGGACCAGGGGGAGCGGGTTAAAGGGACCGGGAAGTCATTAGGTATCCTATGCGCGTGCAGTACCCCGATTTTCCGGAGCCGTTAAAGGTATAAGCAAGGCATGGCTATGGATTTTTGGCTTCGGATTTTCTATGGATTTTGCAGCGCCTGCGACCCGCGTCGCGTATCCATTACGCAACGTAAATGCTGCCCTGCTCGCGGCAATATTCAACGGAAATCTATAACCAACAAGATCCATAGTCATGTCTTGCCTTCCTCAGAAAATGCACGTTCTGGTATCGTTTTCATAATGTTACGTGAGTCCCTAGAACGTGAACTTTAAAGAGACTGGGAAGTGCGAGAATCGACCCGTCTCGCCGACTAGCTCTCGGCCGCTGCGCTACACGCCAAAACACGCTGTGACGGGTCGCTGTCGAGGCCTAGCCGACGGATCGGGTCGATTTTGGTAATTCCTGGCCCCTAGCACCAGGTATGGGGTGGGTGTGAGCATTCGATAAGTATAGCTATGAAAATCGGGTACTGGACTGCTAGCAGAGGGAAAGGAATTTTTGTTCATTTGTATTTTAATAATAAATAAATAATTTGTTAGTAATAAATAGGGTATTTTAATTATGTTTTTCATAGTTTTTGATCCCTAGAAAACCACAAAAAATATTTTCGATATTTTTGAAAATTCTAAAATTTGGCTTTTTTAGCATTTTATTATCTTTTCATTCTACATTTTCATACATTTTTTACCAAAAATTGAACAATTTTGGAAATTTTGATGATTTTCCCCGCGCTTTTTAGATCTAAAAAATGTGTAAGACGCTACAAAAAATTGTTTATATTTTGTATGAGAACCGGGAGTGGGAAAAATGGGAAAATTCGTTTCCCCCACTGCTAAAAGTCCAGTACCGAAAATCGCAGGGTCAGGTGGTGAACAGCAGTTCCAAAAGGTGCTCGGGGAGGGGAGGGGCGGGGGCTACCTGCTGCTGATTATGGTGTCTGTAGATGAGGTCGTGGGGCATTTGGCCTTGGATGGGCGTCTGCGGGGGGATCAGCTCGATCGTCGGCTGCAGAGAGTTCAGAGGTCAACAACAAGAGAGAGGGAGGGAGCGATAGAATGGAGAGGGGGCAGAGAAAGAGAGCAAGCCGAAAAAGGGGAGTTTTACAAAAAAAATACCGTGTCCGCAAAATTGACGTGAACATCGGGGTGGATGGTGGTGGCGCCGGGGGGTAGATGATTTTGTTGGGCGTAGCCGACGTGGTTTGCGTAGGGCATTCCGTGGCCGGACGGCTCGCCCATGTCGAAGGAGGGCTGTTGCTCGAAGGAGGGCTGCTTAAAGGGTGGTTGAAAAATTGTTTTTTCGATTTTTTAGATGAAAGGAGCCAGAAAGAGCTGGAAAAAAGCTAGGAAAAGCTCATCTAATTCTCACTAAGAAAAACGGTAACGTCAAAAAGCGCAGGTTCAGCCGTCGGTTTACATAGCTTATTTTCTTTTTGTCAAAAGTTCACGTTGTCGAAATACAGTGACTTTTTCGTCTCGATTATACATCTACAACATTTCGCAAATTTCAGAGCATTGAAATTTCGGCAAAATGAAATTTCGACAAACTGTTATTTCGACAAAACGAATTTCGACATACTGATAGCAAATCGATTTACATTACTACGTGCGCTACTATGTACGTAGCGAAAAACAGGCGTTAACACGTGGAGCTAATGCCTCGGAATTTCGGTATTATCAAAATTCTGCATGAAGATTCGTTATTATCACGGTAAACCCTTTCAACTTCTAGTTTCTAGCCCAAAACCGCCAGCTCTACCTGTGATTGTGCTCGCGAGTAGCTCCGTGACGGGTGCTCGATAGCGTCGAACGATTCCTGGGCGGCATGTGAAGATTCGAGGAGTTGCCGTCGCATGATATCCGTGCCCGGCTGCTTGAACGACGGGTCGAACTGCTTGGCGTGGATTCGGGCGACGTTCGAGTCTTCTTGAGCCTGGAAATTTACGCGTATTTACTTTTTTAATACGCAAAAATACCTGCTGGGCCATCAGCGTAGCCTGCTCGGCTCGTTCCTTTGCGGTACTCGTCCTCGACGCTGCGATGTCGGCCTGAAAATAGAAAACATGAAGGAAAACTGGGTTTTTTTGGTGCTAATTCGTTAGCGGGGGTGGGGGTGGGTGGGCGAGCTTTTTGCTACGTTTCCATAAGCGCGCTATGATTAAATAGAAGTCATTTGAAGAATTGTACGTCAGTTTTCGGTCGAAAAAGCTTGAAAACTCTGAACTGTTCGAAAAACCTTTTTTTAGGATTTTAGTTTTTGAGTTTTTTTTTGTTTTTTTTTAGTAAAAATTCATGAAAAATGGTGAAAAATGTCACAATTTTGGGCTTTTCAAGAATATTTTCACAACTTTTTCGTAATTGGCATTTTTGAATACCTTTTGCTGTGCAATACTCGCCGCCCGATTCGCCGCCTCAACGCTGGCCTCTACACGTTCTCGGATTTTCGAAGACCGTACAAACAGCATGCCGCGCCGTCTCGTGGACACCACCAGCACGTTGTTCTTGTATTTGCCCTCTTCTTTCCTGCAAAATAAAGCCTAAAATTATCCAGAGAACCCGTACGTTCCATCCCGAAACGTTGTGACGCCATAGCCGTTTTTCGCGTTGTTCGACCATTCGCCATGATATTTTAGGCCGTCGGTCCTAGGAAATGGTAAATATTAAACCATTAAAAAGGATAGATACCTTTCACAGACGCCGAATCCCGATCGAGCATCATTTTTCCATTCTCCGCAGTAGGTTTCGATGGCATTTTCATCAATGTTTTCTTCCTGAAAATGAAAATTAATGATTTTGATTTTGTTCTGCAACTTATAAGCTTTCCTACTCTACTTTTAAAGTTTTTTAATGGCTACTACGATCTATTTTGTAGGATTTTCTATAAAATTCTTATTATCGTACAGCAATAGACAAGCAAACGAGTCCCGTCTTTCCAATCTCCTCATCCCTATCACATCGATGAATCCTCTTCGGCTCCCTCCGATCCCTACTCGCCGCCCGTTTTCTACAGGCTGCACAAGCATGTTTGTGCCCTTCGACCCCTCTTGGGGGCCCGCATTCCGTGACTATCCTCCGATTCGGTACTGTTTCCACTTGTTCGACAAGTACAGATTGGCACAAATCCCGGCGTTCAGCCCAATTTCTCCTGGCCGGCGTCCCGGTCCATCTGCAATATTCTGGCAATTCGGGGACCCGGGGTTCCGGATCAAGAGTTTCTTCCGAATTCCCGTTAGATCTTTCTTCGCTTATTGGAATGTTGCCAACGATTTCCGGTATGACTTTAAAATATTCGCCTCCGTCTTCAAAGTCGCGGGATAGCCGCTTGACTTTGCGCTTTGTTTCTGGGCTGAGTAAAGGCTCGACTAGAGGTTCGGGTTTTTCCACAGAGGGCTTTGTCATCGATTTCCGAAGGACAACATGATGATCCGCTGCTTTCTGTGCGCCGAGAACTTCAACAGGTTCTGCTAAAACTGCTAGGTCAGCTGCAGCAACAACCATCAAACTAGTTTTATGAATTTTCTGGCGGTCATCAGCAATTATCGCGCCGCTTCTTTTGCGCCCCTGCTGGATCTCAGGCGCGTCCACCGGCCCAAAATCAATCTCCCTGCTCCGATGGCTTCTGGGGAGGGTTCTCGTCCGGAATTGCGGGTCTTCGGGATGAGCGAGCTTCTCCCCGACCTGCATCCGGTTGACCGGCATCGTCCTCGACCACTCCTCATCCCCATCATGTAGTCTGTAGCCGGCCGTTTTCAACTCCCACTGACTTCCCTCCCCGACGACACCCTGCACGATTCGCGATCGGCTCAGGAATTCGGAGGGGTCCTGCTTGGAGACGGGCCCCTTCGGATGCCGCGCACATTTTCGATGACCCCCGTAATCGATCTGTGCCTCAAGGCTCAAATCGGGTCGGGATCTCGATCGTTTTTCCACATCCTCGACTACCAGAGCCTCATCATGGTACATTGATCTGTACTTCTGGTCCCGTCGTATCTTCTGGGTTCTGAATGCGTGTTTCGCGCGATCTTTGCGGGACTTTGGCTCTTCGGGCACCACATGATCATCATAGCCGATATATGGAGCATCGCCGGGCCGAAGCCGCGACGCGTCCCGCTCGGCCGGCTTCACGTCCAGCTTTCTCGGGCCGGTGGAAGGGAGCAGACTTTTGAGGAAGGCGGCCAGCAGCCGTTTTTTGGAGCGTCGCGTAGGGGTGGGTGGGGAGGAAATTTTGAAGGTTTTTGGGGGAAGGGAGGTGGTGATTTAGCCAGGGTCGGCCAAAAAATTTCGTCAGTATCGGCCCGGTCAGAATATAGCCTCGAAAAGCGGAAGCATCGATTTCAGGTAGCAGGTGGTTACGGTAGCGTGTGGCTATGACATAGGGCGCTGAATCAATGGATCAATCAGGACTAGGGGCCCCGAATCAAGAATAGCCGCGCGCGTTTTCGGCGCGGGCTGGTCGTCTTCTGTTTGCTAAAAAGCACCTTGGCTGTGGGGTGCGGTACGAGGCGGGTGCTTGAGGGTCTGAGGGAGGGAGATGATAGCCCACCGATGTCGCGTCGGGTCAGCAACGCTTTTGATTCAACGGGTTTTTTGGGGCTCGAAAAATCCGGCGGACCAGGATCGCAAATATCCGCGAGATAGGGGGGAGGCGATGGGACGCAAAATTCGTAGCTTGCTCCCCCGGGAATGATCAGGCCACAAATTTGAAAAAAAGACTAATAAATTTGGTGCTGGTTCATTAACGGGGGGCAACCTAACTTTTTCCTGTGGTGAAATAATGGTCTTGTTTAATACGAGTTTACGTCCTTTGCCGCTAAAAAAAAATCAAAAGCCTATCAATTTTTGTGTTTTTAGCTAAAAATATATGAAAAATAGCCAATTTTAATAATTTTTGGCTACTTAAAATTTTTTATAACTATTTAGGGTAAGTCTAGAACCCCCAGCCTAACTTTTCAGCCATACATCCTATTAATGCGATATCTAAAATGTCCCGTGGTCGGTTACTATGGCAGTTGTTTCTACATCAAAAATTTTAGAACAATTACAAGATTTTGAAGTTGAAAGATTGCCGCTATGCTTCGATGTATCGGAGCCTAAACTCAAATATTTTTATTTTCCGACACCAATGTACTATGCCTTATTCTAAGAGCAACTACATTTTGTACCATTGACCTCTTGTCAAAGATGCCGAGATACGGCTCCTTTGGAACGCAAAAATTACTAAAGAAAACCCAGACTTATATGTTATAAAATTGTTTCGACAATTTTGTGTAAGACCTTTTCTAGGTAATTCGCCCGGCGACATTTTAGTACTCGGCGCATTATGGATGTTGGCTGGTTACGCTGGGGGTTTCTGCTTGGCCTCTCTACTAAAACACGGCAAAATAATTGATTTTTTTAGTATCGATGTTGGAATCAAGGAAACCAGTTTCCCTCCCCCGCTAAAACACAAGAACCCAGAATTCCCTAAAAAGAACCTCCTGCGCCGCAAAATCGCCGCGCCCTCGATGAAGCGAATCTTCGGAGGTGCAGCTCATCGTGCTCCCACTCGAACGCAACGAACCTGAAAACGGAAAATTAAACGAATATTTCGTAAATTTCGTAAAACAAGTTTCGCACATTCAAAAACCAAAAAATTCTCGACGCAACGCGCAACACAAAAAGAGGGACGGGATGATCATGATGATGTTGGCTGTTAGGGGTACGCGCAAATCAAAACAAATATTTTTAAGCGAGGCAGCTTTTCTGGGCTCGATTTCTGCATGGATGGCTTCTAACTGAAGGGTCAAATTTCCGGTTCAAATTCAGTCGAAAAAGGTTCAAAAGCATCCGATTCGACGAAGTAAAAAGTCATCCACGTATTTTCCGAAGATCGAGCCCGCACAAAACGAAAATAAAAAGTGAAGCGAAAACCTGACAGGCCAAAGGGAAATGAGACTCACGGGTGTCTGAAAAAATGGGGCATATTCGATGAGAAAAGCCGTGAAAAACGAACCGGTCATCGAGGTGACACGCTGATGGATATCTCCGGTGCTGTGCTGCTTTTGTATCCGAAGCCCGGAAAGAATCGTTCGTTTCACGGCCAGGGATCGCTGAAAAACCACCTTCTTTATCTATTGTTGATTGGATAAGGCTTCCCAAACCGTTTTTAAGCTAAAAAAAAACAGAAAATATGTCTGCAAACAGTTTTATTAGCTTTAAAAAGACGATAAATTTTTGAGCGCATGTTTCCTTGGTATTTTTCGCATAAACAATAGCAAAACACCTCGCTTTTCTGTATTTAAAAAACCAACCTCAGAGAGAGAGCGTCTCCGGCGTGCCGGCGCCGAGCTGTTCGCCTTGAGCACGAAACCGCCTCGGCCATCTACCCGTTCCTCTGCAAAAACCAAGGAATTACAGAACAAGCGGAATTATGGAAAGTGTCGTACCGCCATTTTCAAATGTAAAAACCCACTATTTTCCTGCTCCTCGCCGCGGCCGCTTCGTAAACTCGTTAGGGAGGCGTTCGTCTGGAAAAAAGTTACAATAAATATCTATAAATATAGAAACGATAAATAGAATCCATAGAAAAGCTACGACGAGCTCCAAAGCACACGTGCCAATGGTCCGTTCCCTTATAGAATTTCTTTTTTAATAGTTAGCTTTAGATTTCGTGAAAAACTCTGTCAATCTGCGATATTTCGAGGAATTTAGCGAGTAATTTTCAAAATCTTTTAAAATAAATTAATAAAGTTGTATCTGTACGTCGAAAACCGTTTACATGGCTATGCGCGCTACAAATGACCCATTAACTCACTTTCAACGTAACAAAAAATAAAATAAAAACTTCCCCACCTGTGATTTGTTGCGAAACTTTGCGGCGACGGTGTAGGGGGCACTTTTGCGCATGCCGTAGCCGTGGCGCATCCCGCGAAGCCATTGGCCCTGGTATGAGCCTGGAAAACGAGCAATTTTTTCAATATTTCCTAAATTTTCTCTGCAAGTTTGCCTCGGGCTCTTTTTAGGATTCGCGAGGGAAACAACTTTTTTCCTAGCGGTCTATTTTGACCTAGTAATCGAATCTAGGGCGCTTTTTATTGTTTTTAGTAATTTAGCCATATTTTGAGTACAAAAAAATCCAAAAAAAAGTTCGAGAAGTTGCTTGAAAAAGCTTTAGAAATTTTGTCATTTTCGGTCGCAAAAAAAAAAACCCGCCGGACAAGCGCCGCGGACCGTAAAATGCGTTTTTGTTTTTTTCGTTTCCCGCGGTTTCTCAAATTACGGCTAAATCTCGTTCTTTTTCACCCCCAATACGATGATTGTTTATTTACGTGAGGAGGAGAATAGAGGGATGCCCCCCTCTTGGTGGGTGATCAAGAGGGGGGAAGTGCGGGTGGAGGGGGGAGAAGCCTTTTGTTGCTGGGCATCTCTTTTTCTCTTCGCTCTCTAACTCGTTATGCCGGTGTCCCTGGTTTACAGCAAAAGAGGCGAATGGAGCACATGCTCATGTCCGGGGTGGCCCTGACGAGGCCGTCCCCCGGGTACAGACATCGATTTACGAACGGCACAATGGCCCGCAAGGGGGAAGCTAGCAGAGGATTTTGGGGAATGATAGAAGAATTGAGGAATTAATGATGGTATAAAAATGGTACTGGACTATTAGCGGGGGGGATTATCGGGAAACCGAATTTTTCCTATAATTCCAGAGCTGCCTATTAACGTAATAGTCAGTAATTGAATCATTTCAAGTGGAAAAACTATCAAAAAAAAACTTAGAAAAACTTTTCTATCTTTCTGTCGAAAATCAGCCGTTTTTGGTCAAAAAAATTCGATTATTTTTGTATTTTTAACCAAATTTGCAAAGTTTTACCCTCGGGAATCGAAAAAAAACAGTTTAGATGCCTAGAAAAACAATAGAAAGAAGAAGAATTAGATGCTTAGAAACAAAATTGGATCTCCCGATAAAAAAAGTAATAAAAATTGCTTACCCTGATCGGCGTACACTTCAGTGCCATAGCCATCGTGGAATCCGGCGCTCCATGTGCCCTGGTATTTCGCTTGATTCGTCGTCGAGTGGCGGACACCATAGCGGCCTTTCAGCCTGGAAGATGTGAGGGTAAAATGTGGATTTAAAAATAAATAAATCAGTACATTAACAGAGCAAAAATTATATAAATTTATTATCTATGAAGATTTTAATCTAAACAAGGGATAAAGGGATTAAATAAATAAAATTATATAGCAATTCGCTAACCCCTGTGTCCACTCTCCGCGGTAGACCCATCTTCCGCGTGCCTCGATGCCGAGTCCGTGGCGTTTCCCGTTCTGCCATTGGCCCTGGTAGGTGTTGCCAGATGGCCATGTGTAGACGCCGGACACCTAAAAACGGATGATTATTGTATATTTTAGATATATAACTCATATTAGGCGTAAATTGAACTTTCTTAGGCATGGGCGGCTTATCGAGGTGGTTTATCGGGGGGAAAACCAACTTTTCCCCCTCCAGTTTTTCTAATACAAATAGAGCAAGTGTCTTTAAAGGGTTTTGATTAAATATAAACGTAAAATCTTTACAAATTTGGATTAAGAAAATCGATAAAATATTGATTTTTCGACGAAAACTGGCCAATTTCGTTCGGAATTTTGACTGAAGATTTTTCTAGTTTTTTCCAATAAATTAATATAACAATAATACAAATTTCCCTTAAATATAGTTGAATTTCACTAAAAACACTATTAAAATACTTACTATTACGTTACCAGGTATTTCTGGACTAATGGAAACCCCCATATTGCAAAAGCACCAGTTTAAGTAAAAACGAAAAAGTAAGTAACTTTAAGTAAAAATGACAAAAAATAAAGTGGATAGGTGCATATTAAATACTATACTAATTCAATAACAATAATACATCTATTTTAACCTATCAAAAGCTTAAAAAACAACCCACCTCAAAGCCGTAGTGCCATGCGCCCGCGTACTCGCCTTTGCCCTGGGGACCCGTGCAGACGCCGTGGCCGTGCGCCTGAAAATTTAGTATAAACAAATATTAATAATAAAATAATATAAAATAGAGGCGCAGGTAAACTAGCAAAGATTATTGTGGAAACGAACCTTTCCCTCCTCCCATCCGCCACAATAGGAGCCTCCGTCGTCAAAGTCAAAGCGGCCTCCGTTCATCGCTGGCCAACGCCCGCGCCAAGCTCACTCGCATCCCAGCACCGAGCCTGCAGTTCAAATTAAATTAGATAGTTTGTAGTTTGTAGTTTCCCGGATTTTTAGGCGATTCACCGGAAACGTAAGAGCGTAAAGAAAAATGAGGATTTTACGGTGAAAACTCGACATTTGAAATAGCTATTCGAGAAATCGAGAAAATAAAAGTAGCCATAAAAATGCTAAAAATGTATATTATGCTAGTAAACGTAGTTTAAGAAGTATAATTTAAATATTTTGTACTTTTTGGCTGGTTTATTTCCAGCACGGGGCCTGTAAAATTAGAAAGTTAAACGTTTGTCGTTTAGTATAAGAATTACCCGGACGAATCCCCGAAGAAGTAAAGAAAATTACGGTTTTTATGGTGAAAAATGCAAACCATCCGTTTTTTCGCAAGAAGCTTAAGCGTCAAACTATAAAAACGGAAGTACTTAAAAATCATCACAAATGTCGAGTTTTACGAGCAACATTGGCAAATTTCAACCTTATAACAAGAAATCTATCAAAAAAACGCAGCCAAAAACCATAAAATTTGACTAAAAAACCCAGATATTTCCAAAATTCCCCAATGCTCTCAGCTCGCCTGCCCAACACCAACCTGCCACTGTGATACGCTGCCGGCTGGGTGGAGGGGTGTTCTGGGGGAAAGGGAGATGCGCACCGCCGGGGGGAAAAGCCAATCGGGTCGCGTTGTGTTCGGGCACGCGTCAGCAAGACGTTCAGGCGATGCGAAATAGGTCTATCCTTTGTGGGGGTCCGTTCTTTGGGAGGGCAGCAGCTCTGAATACTCGCGTCGCGCCTCGTCCCACCGTCGGGTCGCTGGAACGGTTGGGTTAAAAAGAGCGAAATGAGAAAATAGCTGGAATCGAGAGAGAAAAAGTAATGACAATAGTGGAATACAACGGAATAACGGTAAAATCATATTATCTAGGGCGTGTTTTTTCAAAATCGTAGGTAACGCTCGAAAAACAGTAAAATTAGAGGGGTTTTGTCAAAAATTAAAAAGAGAGAGCTAGGGGAAGCTAGCGGAGAGCATTGAGGAATTCGATAGAGGGACGTAGCGTAAAAGGCCCCAGGCGCCGAAACGGGGGAAAAGGGGGACCCTATGATCCCGGCTTTTTTTTCTTTTTGCTTCACCTTTTTCTCTGGTGTGTGGCCCCCTTTTTCTCCCCCTGAAGAGAGAGAGAGAGAGAGAGAGAGAGAGAGAGAGAGAGAGAGAGAGAGAGAGAGAGAGATGGAGAGAGAGCGAGAAAGAGCGAGAGGGGAGAGAGGGGAGAGAGAGAGAGAGAGAGAGAGAGATTGCGAGAGGGAAGGAGCGAGAGAGACTCAGTTGTGTATTTTGAGTCACACTTCCCGATTTCTAAATCATGACTTCCTGTAGCCGATTTCCCATTTCTCACTTTTCAAGAAATCCCCACGGGTTCGAACCCCGGCCAGTGCAACATTTTGCAGTTTTTCCAAAATCAGAGCGGTCAACGGTCTCTATTTGAAAATTGAAGTAATGGGTGGGGAGAGAGATAGAAACGGTCCCAGGGGGGATGGCGGGTAGTAGTAATTATAAAAAGTATCGGCAGAGGCGAGAGAGAGAGAGAGAGAGCGAGTGATTCTTCTCTATCTTCCCCCATGGGAGATGTCCTCTCTGAAAACGCCGGGCGGCGGCGGTGGCTGGCTGGGGCCCGGTGAGAGCTGGAAGAAGAGAAAGAGACTGGGTCCCTGAGGGGCGATCGATAGAGGCCGACAACTGACACTCCAAGCACAGCCCCCACCACCACAGAGAGAGAGAGAGAGAGAGAGAGAGAGAGAGCCACAGCCATCCCTTTTCTCAAAAGGCTTCTTCTTCTCCTCGTGCTTCTTCCACCTCCACCTACCCACACCTCATCCACCCCTTCCCACACCACCATCAGGGCCCCCGGAGGGCACACCTGAACTTCACGAAAAAAGTAGCGGAAGTCTTGGGGCTCTCCAAATTCGCCTGGCGCAGCTTTTTAGCAGTAAAAAATTTGTAAATTTGCGTAGCGTTCTCTTGCTGGCAGTTAGATTAAGGCAGATTCTTCTAATTTAAGGCAGATTCTATAAAATTACCGGTTTCAACGTATCGTAAGATAGTGTTCTTTTAGTTAAAAAAATCGTATTTCGACCGTTTGGGAAAGCGCCAAAATGCCGACAGCGAAAATCCCGACAGCCGAAATCCCGTAACGCTGAAATCCCGACGGACATACTCCCCACAACTATAATCCCGGTAGCCAAAATTCTGCATGAAAATTAGAGTTGAAAAATATACATATTTAAAAAGAAGTAGCATTCCAACTAGCATCAAGAATCTGCCGGGTTTTTGTTTGTCGGTATTTTCGCCTGTCGGGATTTGCCATCGGGATTTTGGCTGGCGGGATTTTTGCTAACAGGGTTATTGCTGTCGAGGTTTTGACTTGTCGAGATTTTGGCTACCTCCATTGCCATTGGCCTGTCGGCATTATGGCGGTAGAGGTTATAGCCGGAGTCCGACCGTTTTTCTACCCCAGAAAATGACCGTCTTCCACGAGAAAAACAAGCAACTCCAAGTCCCAAAAGCGAAAACTGGAGCAAACTCTGATTTCTATATGCACCATAATTCCTTAAGATAAGCTTCTACAACTTTTAAGATTCAAAAAACCTAAAAATCACACCTTTAAACCGTGAAAACAGGCCAGAAAAAAGCGCGCGCGAGATCCAGAAGATTTAGCACAGAAAGTAAGTGTGAAAAGAGGAAAAAGAAGGACACAAATTTCCCCGTGGCCGATGCGGGTAACCAGATTGAGGACAAGAAGAGAGAGAGAGAGAGAGAGAGAGAGAGAGAGAGAGAGAGAGCGAGAGAGAGACGGCTTCTCCCTCTTCCCAGCGCCGAGCATCAACAAAAGGCATTTTCCGCATCGAGGCAAGTGACGGACTGCTGCCTCTAGTCGGCTCTTCAGAATATCCCACAAGAATCCCTCGAATCCACCCACGCTCTCGGGGACATCTGATGGAAAATAGAACTTCAAAAGATGATAGGTCTAAAACTAGTGATTGGGCTTGGGCTTAGGCTTAGGCTTGGCTTAGGCTTGGCCTGGGCTTAGGCTTAGGTTTCGGCTGAGGCTTGGGCTTAGGATTAGACAGAGGCTTGGTTTGACGTAGGTTTACGCAGGCACTAGGTTAGCCTAGGCTTAGGCTAAACAGGCTTAGCTTTTGCTAGGCATAGTCTTCTGCTTACACCTACGTTTAGGCTTGGCTTAGGCTAAGGCTTAGGCCTTGTTACCGAGGATACACTCACCAGATTTCTGTCAAAATCCGCAAACAATCAATCCTCAAAGTTAAATTAATAAAACCTAATTCCAGACTAAATTCGTCTAGAGATAGTTGAGCTGTCCGTCCATAGTATTTTCGAAAGAACCGTAAAACCAGGGTCCCGCCGCGAATTCCCAGCCATAATCCGCCGCCGGATGGCCCCAGACTGGCCAATTTCGGCGGCCCGATCAAACGACACGAAACGGGTCATACTCTCAAGAAAATCTCGCGTGGTTAGAGGGCGAGAAATGACGTGCAAATTAGGTGCAAAACCGGGATTTCAATGTTCTTAAATTTGTCTTAAAAGCTACACAAAAATAAAAATAACTGGCTTCTTGAAAATTTGTCGTTTGGGCTTCAAAAAGCGATTAATCGCATAAAAATTCTGCCGATACGATTTAGCTCGATCAAAAAAGAGAGATTTTTTCATTTAAGTAAAAAGGAGGGAGTGAAATAGGAAGCAGAGCAGCTTTCCCCGAAAACAGCCGTTTTATGTAAATTTCCACGAGCCGTTCTGACCAATTTAATTTGTTAAATCAAGATCCTTTTCCCCCGGACCATTCCCGCCAATTCCGGTCCATCCGAAATGAGTATCCGAGAGGGGCTGGGTTGCGGGGAAGTTCGTGCTAAGTCGTGGACAAATTGGTGGCCCCCCAGGGACCTCCTCCCCCGCCCCTTTAACGGCCCAGCCCCAACACCAAAAAACGACTGGCAGCTGGGAGCCCGGGAAGATGTTCCGGCCAGGGCTAAAGGGACGGGCAAGGCATGGCTGTGGATTTTTGGCCATGGAACACATTTATTTTTGTAATATAAGTTATTTCATTGCGTAATGTATTACGACCCTTTTGGCGCGGGGAAATTGGTCAGCGCGTCGCGTGACGCGGCGAAAGCTATATTTCCGAAAATTTGTCTTGAAAAACACCCGAAAATACTTGGAAAATGTTTGGAGTTTGGAAAACTAATTTTCGAAAAGATGCCTTTTCTGCATAATGATTTTCGAAAAAGCGAAAATCGAAATTCGAAAAATTCGCAAATTCGCCTGACGTTAAAATCCAAATGGAAAGCATAGCCGACCAAATCCATAGCCCTGCCTTGCATGTGCCTTTAAAGGAGCCGTAAACTGCCAAGAAAGAGGATAATTTCGAGAAAATGCAACGAACTCAACGAGTAAACGTGTACGGAGTAGCCGATCGTAATAAATTTTTCGAGAACGTGCCGCTAGACTGGACACGGTCCCATTCCCATAATATAATTAAATTTTGCAATTTTTCCGACTTGACGCTCCCTTTAAAATACGGATGAATGTTTTTGGCATCTAAAAACCTGTTAAAAAGCCAAAAATTCCTGTAAAAAAATATTCTTAATAACGTTTTTCGGATACCTAACACCAAGCCAATGCTTAAAACCAAGTACACCAAAAAGTAACGCGGGTTGCCGGGGGTTTCCGGTGGCGCCCAAAATTGTACCCAAAATCCGCTTCGTTTTTTCTTGGCTGGCTTCCCGGGTGGCGCGAATTTTTCTATGGAAACCGGGAAGCGGTGTGAAGGGGATCCGGGCGGGTTTCCCGGAAATAACAAAAACATAGGACTCAGAAAATGGGCATGAGTTATAGGGAACAGATTTAGAGAACTGGGAGTAAGAAGAAGCTTCAGGTTTTCCGGGTTGAA